GAGATATTGGAACACTGCTATCATGTCTCCCCTAGTCCTTCTTTCTATTAAACTAGACATACCCAGTTCTTGCAACCGTTCTTCATATGTTTTAGTCTCCAGTGCCCTAATCATCTTTGTTCCTCTTCTCTGCACTTTTTCAAGAGTCTCCACATCTTTTCTACATCGTGGTGACCAAAACTGAATGCAGTATTCCAAGTGTATTCCAAGTGTGATCTTACCAAGGCATATTCACTGTCATCATTACTGTCGTACTTGATTACTTTGATTTAAGCTTCTCAGAAAGGTTAGCACTGTATTTTTTGTTACTTTAAAAAAACATTCTTATTGTTTATTATGCAATTAACAGAGGCATTTATTTTTAAGATTACAAAAATGTGTTGAAGCTAAAGAAGAACTGGAAACTGATCTTTATCAGCGATTTGTCTTGGTCCTCAATGAAAAGAAAGCAAAGATAAGAAGTTTACAGAAACATTTAAAAGAAGTCGAAGAAACAGTATCGGAAACTGCACAAGCAGGGTATAATTTATTACTTTCCTTCCACTAAGTAAACATCATACATGAAATAGATGTAGCTCTGTTCTCTATCTTGTGCAGGCTTCAAAGTTCAAAGCCTGGGTATCCTTGAAATGCAGTAATATATTACTTAGCTCTAGAGAGGAACTTTAGCAATTCAGCATTTTCATGAATGGCAATGATACATTAATTGTGGTGTATATTTGAAGCATTCTATTTAATTATTTAATATGTTTAAGTTTATTAAACTGAATTTTTTTTAAAAAAATGAAATAATTAGTTAATGAGAAATGAAATCTACAAACTTTTCTCTTGCAAAGGATCTATTTAGTATGATGACTGGGACTGCTAGATCATACTAATTGAAAATAAAGTTTATTCCCTGTAAATTCATTAAAAAATATTACAGCTTCTGTTGATGCCATTGAAACTAACAATGGGGCCTAAAAGTGGCCATTTTTCTTAATAAGATTTAAATATTTGTTTCCAGTTGAAAGAAAACAGATGGCTTTTGGATAAAGCTCCTTTGTATTCATATATAATTCAAAAAAATATCGAACTACTAAATGTGCAGAGTTTTCAGTAATGATAGTATTATAATGCTAATGATATTAGGACCATGCTGTAATCTATTTTCCAAGCCCAAATTGTGATTCAAAGTTTATTTGTAACATTCATCAGAACATTTTGAAAGTATTTAAGATGTCCTTGTAGGAGTTGCATCTGTACTCTCCATCTTTTAAGAATACGATAAGAGTCACCCAGAGGTTAATTGTTGTTGTTAGTTGTGAAGTCGTGTCTGACCCATTGCGAACCCATGGACAACATTCCTCCAGGCCTTCCTGTCCTCTACCATCCTCTGGAGTCCATTTAAGCTTATGCCTACTACTACGGTGACTCCATCCAGCCACCTCATTCTCTGTCGTCCCCTTCTTCTTTTGACCTCAATCTTTC